AATTAGTAATTTACTGTATAACTGGGCCTCATTCCCCGTGCCAAGCTTTCAAAAAGGACCAAACTTCTTCTAAACACGCAAAGCTGGGAGAGCCATTTGAAACTGTTTCTATTGTTCAGTTGTCAGTGAGAAACTGAGATCTCTAAATAAAAATTTTATACAGAGCTTCAGAGATGACACATGGATTTATTCTACCACAACAAAAGTAAAGAGGAACATTTTTGTCATCTTCTAAACTGGCCCGCAAGTCCTATGAGATTTCTGAATGTGCGCACGCCATCTTGATTTATTTTGTCTTCAGTTTACTTTCCTAATCTCTGTTGCATTTTAGTCTAGTCTTTGTCGTTGAAGTTAGAAGTTAGAAGCCAGAATGTCAGTTGTGTTGTGTAAAACATTGGCTCTTGGACAACATTTATTTTCCTCCCTGAAAAACAACATCAAGGTGTGAAAGCAGCTCAGGTTTTGTCTTCGCTACACATGTCAGCCTCCACATCCTCTCCACCATCAGTTTTACTGCTGACAGCTGGAGACAAGGCTCACTGAGACTTTTGCCCATGAAATACGAGATGCTTGGGGCATGTTTACATTATCACATACTTCTCCACTTAACTCGCCACAACATTCGCCTGACTGCTGAGAAGAAGGGCATTCATCACACATAACTGACAGGAAACGTGAGGACTCTCATCTCCACTGTGTTTCCCACCATTCTCTTGTAGAGTGATATCTGATCACACTATCTGAGAGATTAGGTTATCTACTGTGTTGCTGCGCTGGATTAGTTTCTTTGTCATGCAGCTTTGTCTAAACAAACACAGTGGTCATAGCAGTGTCATCTTTCTCATGTTGTGCAGGTCTAAAGTGAAAATCTCACAGTTATTGTGATGGCTTTTTTCCTTTTTTGACATATTGATGGACAACATATTGTCCAAATTGTCCACTGTAAAACAACACTACTAAAATGATACTAAAAAGTTAAAGATGATACTATTAAAAACAAATCAAATAGAGTTTTTAGGTCAAACTGCAATCAGTTTGTGCCCATACTTGCTTTGCTCTCCTTTGACTTGATATGCTAGCTTTTTGGATAATATGAGAAAACATTTAATACATCCTGCACCTTCTTTCTCTATAGAGGACCTTTATAGATGTGAGTCTAGCTGAAATCACAGCAAAGCCTTTGACTTGAATTGACATTCACTATAGTTTTGTAAAATGATGCTGCAGTAGTAAAACATGGTTTTACTAGAGAATTTTGGGAGTCCCGAAATGCTTTTAAGCTACACTAGAGATGTTTCTAAATCTCAAAACCACGTGCGGTTTAATCTTGAAGGACACCAACTTTAGTTCCACTCATATCTTGGCTTGAAACTCCCCTTGAGCACTAGTTGGCTGAGATACTATTCTTCCAAAGCGAATAGGAGCAGCTTTATTAGAAATTCACTTGATACACATAATACTGCGCACCATTTTAGTAAAACGTGAAAACTACTCATTTTGAATTATTCTTTGCAACTAGTTGCTTCTTCTTTGTTGTACTGAAACTGTAAGGTCCGCTCAGTGCACCAAGAAACACTTAAGTCCAGCAGGGTAAAGTCATCTTCCAACATCCTGATCCAGATGTGTCAGTGAGCTCTGTCTTGGAATTATTCATTTCTAAACAATTTCAGAGAGACATTGAATATTGAATTTAGTCTTTTACTGTTGTTGTGCACACACTGAGTGAGCAGAGAGGTACATTTACTACAGAAGTTTAAAAGGGGACTTACCTAAGTCGCTTTCTTTCCTCAACCTGCTGATGCAGACTTGCTGGCTTACTGCAGGGACTTGTTCATGTGGCTGGAACATTTTCCAAGAAATGTTGAGGGCTCAGGTGTTCTTTGTCCCTGTGAGGTTTCTGGAGCAGCTGGTTCACGTACACAAAGGGATCCTCTGCACTTTCTTGTGTGCACACATTAATGCATGTAAACCTAAATCATCCCAAGTTTTCAGTGTTCTCCAGTATTCTCCAAGGGAGAAAACTGGGCTTCAAAAGAAGAAACCTCAACATTTGCTGTTTATTATCTTCCAATTATGTGTGTCTGTAAAGAGTTACTTGTAAAACCAGTTGAATATCCCTCATGATCACAACAAATAAACACACAGTATTGTGTTAAACATATCTGTACCAATTTATTTTAGAGAAGCTGTACATCTTCAGATTTATAATAGATTTTTAACCATTTAAAGAATTGGTTAGTGTCAGGACTATTGACCCACATTGCATTGTTTTTCCTTTCACTCATCTGCTCTTTGTGTCGGTGTGTGGTGATTGTTCAAATGGAAACAGATTCACTTTAAAATAAAATAAATTGAGGGTGAAACTTCCCTGCGTCTCGAACAGACTCATTCTAGGTGACGCTCTCTGGATACCACGGGCTCCTATAATAAGCATGCCCAGACTAACATACATTCCACTCAGTGGTTATGCGGTCTACAGTGTCTACCATGCATCCCTCTCCACCCCCATCCAGCTGCACGCTGGATAATTAATAGTAATGAGGAGCTCTTAAGCTTGCATGAGCCTGTGATGTGGTCAAAGATTTCTTAGTTCAGAGAGCTGGTTGTATGTATTTCTTACTGTTGATTTTTATCTTTGTATAAATGAAGGAGAACACATGATCAAGGACTTTTCAGGCAGGTGACAACAAAACAAAATATCTTAACTTTAGCATGTTGCATGGCTGCTGACTACTTCGCTTTTCACTTGTGATGATTTACTGAGTCTTGTACATAAATTTGATTTATTCACAGTACTGTACTGTCAGTACCCACATTGTTCACAATTAATGTATATAAAATGTATTTGGTTTGAGAACATACCGCTGACTGATGGTCTCTGGTGACTCAAAATCCTTAAATTTGCACTGTCTTTCTTCTTCTGAAGAATTTTAATCCAAAACTTGAAAGCGCTCTGATTAAAAGTTACTTCCAATTGAAAAAAACAGTCACCGGGCAACATTCTGAGGACATTTTTGTTTTTATAGCTGCTGTGGTCTGAACCCTTCATAGAAAAGAGACTTATTATAGAATAATTATACAATGTCATCTTGGCATACTTTTGTAGTGAATGCATCAGCTGTAATCATAGTTCCAACTACAAAGCAGGGGCAACTCCAAAGTGAAGCATTCCTGAAAATTGTAGATTGTCTCACAAAGTGGAATCTGGATGCTTGTCAGTATATTTTGCCTGCTGAGTGAACCAGGCAGCTTGCGAAGGAAATCTGAGGACCTCAGTTTTTGGTTATTTACGTTTCCTTTCTGCCAGTGCACGGCGACTGAAATTAAACCAAACATTTTGGGCTGCTTTCCCAGGGAGCAACATGAACAAGAAGTCCTGACATTCTCCGTCAAACAACTTGAAACAAAATGAGTTTTTAAAAAAAACAGTCAGCTGCCTGCCAGGCTGCTCCCAGAGAGTTTTTTTTTCTGCTGACCATGCCCAATGACATTCAACCTAGTCTTCAAAATCATACATCACATGTATATTTCCTACAAGTCAAACAGCTCATTATGTAAAAAGATAGCAAATTGAGATTTTAAAAATCTTATCTGATCTCCTTTACTAATTTTCAATGAATATAGATGATCAATACAGCATCTGTTCCAATGGTCAGAATACTTGTATTCATTAAATCCAATTGGATTAGACTGATACTGTAAGTTTGTCAGATCAGATGTTTCTCAACTTATTTCAGACCATCAAATGCAGTTCCAAATTGCATGATCAAAAAGATTGTGTAGAGAGGAGTTTTCAACCTTTGCTGTTGATTTCCAGATGATGTCAGACTTGTCAAGTCATATACATCCCAAGTACTGAGTGGTTCTTGTGCCTGACAAATTATTTTCAAAACCAAATGATTTAATGTAAATGTCAAACACTTATAGGTGGCGTTTGAAATTAGATTATGAGCAAAAAACCTGATGGTAACACATCAAGAAAATTGTTTAAGTCAGCCAAGTGATTTCAACTTCACTGTGCCTAATTACAGATTTTCAGAAGCGCCAGTGCGGCTGTAGACATCAGTTGTCATCAGCACCACCATTCGCCTCCATTAGCTAAACAACTGGAATTCCCAAACCCATGCAGCCAATTAGGTAGGAAGGCTGCAAGGAAATCAAATCCACCCATCCTTCATAACAGTAATTACCTCTAAGGGGCTCATGAATGCACAAAAAAAACTTTTGTGAGATACAAATTCATACAAATACACAAATTCAGAACTTTGTCCTGGATTGCCCAAACTGTAAAAGCCAAATACTTATCAATACTTACCCGACAGCCTAATATGACAAAGCAAAGTCACATTTGAATGAACAAAGTGCATCCTACCCCATTTAAACTAAGTCCACATCGAGTGGTATCTCTTTATTCTACCCTATATTATTCATTATCCAAAACAATAGTATAATTTGTAGCTATTCCACCAGCTAACAATGCTGTACAAAACGTATTTTAGCTGAACAAAAGTAGTGCTCAGTGTCCTTTCTGTGTTATGATAAACAAGTTGGTAGCTATTAAAAAACGCTCTGCATGTGGTTTGGTTTTATGTACAACGGCTGCCATTGCAATGTTAAATCCATCTTTCATTGTGCACACTGAAAATCAAAACAACGGGGGAACTCTATAGCTACCACCTGTGCTTTTATTCTTGCTCCAGTCATTTCTGAACAGTAATTATTATCTGGCTTCAGAGTGAGAGACACAAAATGAGGAAACTCCCAGAGTCTGGAAAACGTTTAATCTTGCTCAGTGAAGCTTTTTTTGAACCACTGGCTCACACAGGGGCTATTAAACTTTCTTTCAGGAAGTGTCTAAAGTAACAGCTCCACCCCTCTTTTTTAATTTGCTTGTATTGTGTTGCAATAACTTCAGTGCTTCTGGTCAGAGAGTAACTTCTATCTCTCCTGTTTCACTCCATTAGGATTGTATGTCGTCTCAGAATTGGGGAAATGATGCAATTCTCTTTTCTTGAGTAGTTTTTTTTTTTTAATTATCCTGTTGAATTATCTGTTAGACACGTTGCACCCTTGGCTTAACAGCATGCTTTGGGATGCAGTGATGCTCCAAGTGATGCGCTATCGCTGCTTATGTGGGCGGGCCCAGGAGCAACTTTCCCAGCTGGTGATTTGATGAGCAGAGGATTTTCCAGTGTCAGTATCCCTCAGCCTGCTCAGGTTCGGAGTTGCGGCGTTTGTCCTGCCTCCTCACAGTGCGCTCAACTCTCAGGGAGAGGAGAAATCTGCGCCTTTTTTTCATGAAAGCCCTTTTACCATCAGTGTGAGAGCTGGGCTTAAGGGGGAGGGATACTGAAGGGCCCAGTCTGGCTGATAATACATCCTTATAACTTTCACACATGGCGCTGTAGTACAAGCACATTTTTCTGTGGATTTTTGAAAAGGACCTTATTTCAAAGAAAGTCGCCCGATTTCTGTGCCATTCCGGGCGCCCACAATGGAGATGCAAAGATGGACCACCAGGTGGAAAACGAAAAGGTGGCTATGGGATTCAACGCTAGCCGCTGTGGTCACGTTAATTTTAATCCTACAAACTGACAGTGTTAGAGCAGGTAAGAGGCTGTTTGTTGTTACCCGTATGCGTCACTTTGCCGGGTCCAGCGCGTCCTGGCGGCTGGCACACGGCCAGTGGAGATCGTGGTAGAAAGTTGGCACTCGACTTCTGCTCTCATATTCTTTTGGCTGCCACAGAAACTCGTCTTTTCTAAGTGTGCACATATTTTATCTGAGATGTAGCCTACAGTATCCCCCCCAAAACTAATTTCTGTGCATTTCTTAAGTTATCAGTTGTTTGGGTTCGGGTATTAAAAAGTTAGGTCCGAGATGATGGTCTCAGAGTTTCCCATTGATGGATGTAAAAAAAAAAATAAAAAAAAGAGCTGCCTTCAAAAGACAAAAAAAAACTCCTCAAAAAGGTTCTTGTGTAGACATAATATTGTGGTTGATTATATTGAGTTTGTGAAAAATTCAACTTTAAGTTGGTCAGGTTTTGATATTTCTTCATATATTTTTCCTATGAGTGTCAAAGTGGTTAATGTCTGCCATTCAGGTGTGGTCAGCAGCTGGAAGGGGGTGTGGGGTGGTGGGGGTGTGGGGTGGTGGGGGTGCATTCACTGTCACATACAGGATCAGTGCTGCAATGCTGACGCTCATAAGCTCTACTGACAGGGTTGTAGCCCATAAGACCACGGGCTAAGTTTGTCAAAATAAAACAACTGAAAAAGTTGTGGTAACCAGTAGAAATAGTTACGGTTTAAGCATAACTTTTATGCACTACACTTTTATACAAAGATATCAATGCCTCATCTTTTTTATTTAATTTCATGACTATTTGTGGAGTACCTATTGGGTATCATACATTTCTACCTGTCCACAGAGAATAAAGTGTAGTGCAACTTGAATAATATAGGTGCTGTGGTGAATCAGAAGGTTTATATAATAAATGGGCACAGGACAGTGGAATCCTGAGTGAAATTCATACTCTGGCTCGAAGAATCACCATCTTTCCAATTTGTCTGGGCCAAGAAGGGGCGTTGATGGAAAAAAAAAGGACAAAAAATATCTGGACTATTTTCTTTGCTTTAAAACACATATGTGGGTCACATGAAATACTTTCCTCTGCGGAATCATAGAGTGCCACAATGTAGTGTGAATGAATTTATATCCCACTTTAAAGTCCTTCTGGATGTTTTCTTTTTTGATATTTGTAGTGTTGGCACCAGATTAGTCATTATGCAATCTTTCGAATGGCCCCTCTCCTAACTTATGGAACAGACTAAAACTGAATTAGAAAGAGTCTAATAAACCATGGGAGTTTCCATTTTTCTTGATCTGAATCAACAAGTCAAATCTTTCCCCATCATAATCGTCATCCATTGATTTTAAGTGCTGAACAGTACTTACTTCCCAGAATAGAAAATTAAATTGTTAAGGAAAGCACAAAACACAGGAATCCAGGGTGAAATGATCATGATGTGAGGAAAAAAAAATCTGCTGTGGCATACTTGCCCAGTGCCCATCTTTCAGTCTCTGACAGATATTTAAGCTGACCATAATTGTATGATGTGCTAGCAAACGTTTACAGGCTTTCTAGTGTGCTTTAATTGCTGCCTATGCTGCCAACTCTCAGTAGATGGCAGTAACACGAAAAGGACCAACAAGACATCCCAAGAAGTCGCTGCATGACCGCGTAACCACAGAGGCATTAAGTTAGAATTTCACAGATTTGAAAGTTAATCACAAGCCTAAACTTAGACGGCAAACTCTATGGCCCTGATGGGGAGTTTGTGCGAGTAAAAATGGTATTTTGAATGGATTGGTGTCAAACGGGCCTCTCATGTGAGCACATGCTTCCCTTTAGCTTGTTTGGATGGCAAGCTGTAAATCAAAAGTCCTTGAAAGCATCTTTGGAGATGTGTCATTAAAAATCAGGGACTGACAAATTACCCCTCAGACTGTGGAAAGACAGTTTTGGTACCTTTCGCACGATTTAAGTGCCTTCTCTGCTCTGTGGTTTCACATCTTTATCATTAAAGTATAGTTTATTACTTTTTAAGTGTAAGGATGAAAGACTTTTAAGGACACGTCGAGAGTATAGTCCAATAGCTTTACCCCCTCAGAGGCTTTTTTTTAAGACTTGCCAACTTATTTGGGGTCTTTAATGGCTTTGGGATATTGCCTATTTTTCAGGGCTTCTGTGGAGCAATGCTTGTGGAAGGAGAGGGGTCTAAAGAGTCTGGAGGGGTGGGAGAAGGGGGGAGGATGGGTCTGTGGGGGGTTCCTGGCCAATTCAGCACATCTGGAATATATGAGGCCCTGAGGTATGCAGTAATGCAGAAAGGCATTCTGAAACTCACAAAGAGACCTTCAGTCCAAGCTTTCTTTCTTTCTTTCTCTTTTTTCAGAACCAGTAGCTCTGTATTTGGGATAATATTCTGAGGAGCAAAATACTATTTTCCTTTTTATGAGGCATTTTTGTGTAAGGTTTTAAACCTGGCTCTGCAACATGTGTGCCTTTCATCCCGTTTCTGTTCAAAAGAGAATGAAGTCTGTTAAATCATTCTTTGCTTTGACACAGACAGCTAGACAGACATTTTTACTCCCTCTGTTGGTAAAGAGTGTTGTGAGACTAAAATTAAGTTAAAAAAAAAATATATATATATACATATATCTTATATATACTGTATATATTTACTGTAGTTTTTCTTTTCTGTCTTTGCAAACCATGGCATCTGATTATGACACATGAGATCTGGTCAACCTCATGATCTAAAGCTGGAAATCTGACTCTCAGCATGTGCTGGCCTCAGGTTTGATTCACCGCTCAAGATGTTATTCCTCTGGTCGAAAGAGAGGTAGCTCTAAGGCTGGGGCCTTCTCACTTTAGTCTCATGTATGTTTAAGTTAGGGGGGCAAAGGGAGTGGTGCCAATGTCATAATGGTTTCAGCATGTGGACTTCTGGCTCCACCCATCAGGAGCCCTCCTGGTCATGGAGAGCGAATAGGAACTGCACAATCAGCACTTCCTGCCTTCGTGTACCGCACCACTTAGAGAATGGAAAATGTACATTAAGGCTAACTTTTTATAATACCATTTCCTTTGTTTGTTTGACTGTGTAAAATCTTTACATATGACACAAAAAAGTAATCTGTGCATATACCCAGCAATAAAGAAGTCAATAGGGGGGGAAAAAAACTTTCTTTAAAGTTCATAGAGTTTAAAGTTCGAGGAGTGCTTCATCTTATATCTTTGAATACCTTTGTGTCAAAGTTTAATTTATTTTCATCATATCAAACACATGAATCTGTCTCTTTATGGAAAGAAGAAAGATTCCACACTAAGTCTGTTATCTGGCTTCCCATGAAGGCAGCGTTGACTTTTTGGATTTTCAGCTGATCAGTCAGGCCATGTTTATCATTGCGGGGCCTTTGAAGAGGAGACATCCTCCCTCTTGACTCAGTAAAAAGACAAATGAGTCACGTGATGTCGAGACAGACTGGCACTGGCTGTAGTTGTATTTTCTTTTCTGTTACTGTTAAACACCAATTCCATTTAAGTCATCCGACAGAGAAAATGTTATAAGTACATGTGGATTGTTAAAAAGGTCAAGAAAAAGGTTTCATCCCAGATTCTTAAAATACTCATTTCAGAGCTATCATGATCCCAATTCCTGATTGTTGTTCATTTATTTTCTATTCACTGATTTATCATGAAAAAACATCATAATTGAAGGGTTTATATTTGCTGTCTTATTTGATGTTACATGGTCTGCTTGGTGGTTGACACACTGTTGGGAAATGATAGCTTGAAATGGATAATGGGTAGCTTAAAATCCGTTTTATGTTATTCAAGAAACAAAATGACAAACTTCACACGCTTGGTTTAAATGATGTCAAATCACCATAAAAAAAACATTAGGCTGGAAAACAGAGGAGAAATTCATTCATTCACAAGAATAGCTTATGGGGTAACCTCTTAAATGTAATGCTTCTGGTTTCCTGAGAGGCTGAGAAATGAGCTCACAAATTAAAGTTCTACTTTTTTTTCTTACCAGAGCTTTGGTTTAAAGAAATGTTTGAGACATACAGGATATTTTTTAAAACAAAAAGAAAAACAGGTCTTGCTAAAATTATCTTTTTGCTAATATATTTTTATATGTTGTTACAAAACTGGCGTCTCACCTCATGAAGCCAATATCAAGCAAGTGAAAATGTGCCATTGTTGCACAGAGCTCATTCAAAACGTTGAAATGTTGAACAAATACAAACTGTGTCTGTCTAGGCAATGGAATAAATTCCACAATTCGTGATAAGTAATCAACTCTTGATGCACCTTAGTATTTGATCTACAATGGCACTTTTAATGATCTTGAATTAATTTGTTCTGCTAAGTGTACTTCTGGCAAACAAGCCTTTAATCACAAATAATACCAACACTGCTGTTTGCACATAAACATTTAAACATAACACTATTAGGCTTCCCTCTTTAATCATCTGTAGCTGATGTTGGGCCTCCAGGAGGAAGGGGACAATGCAGTATGATAACTGAAACAGTCTCAGTAGAAAACATATGGAACACGTTTAGTCATTCAGACTGAAGGGGGAAGTTTTTTCCCGAGCGACTGCTCTTTTCTGTTTGAAATATTGACTAAATGTATGTACAACGAGACATATACTGTGAGGCAGTGTTGATTTTTGAATGAAGTCCTCAGGGTCTTTCCCAGGCTCTGACTACAATTGTACATTCATGTACATGTCAGTAAAGTTTTGATTATACTCTAAATGTTGGCGATTTTACAGATAACACAAAACATTCCAACTGTGTCCCTCTTTATACATGTTTCTAATCACAATTATTTGGTATAGCTTAATATTTTCTCACATCAGAAACGATGTTAAGAAATCATGTTTGAGGTGTTTAGTTGCCACTTGTCCACATTTCTATCATCAGGGAAATATTAATGATTAATGCACAGCCATTGCCCGTTTTTCACCTATGGGTTCAGTGAAATACACCAGTCTGTCATTTATGCCTGTTGTACCTGTGTCCCCGACCTCCTTTAAACTCACATCCTCAGCATCCAATCAAAATTCTTAGTTAAACAGCAGCAGGAGAGTGAAGAATTGAGAAACAATGTTTATGGCTACACAGTAGGTTCACCAAGGCCCCGGGTCCATTGATAGTAAAGAATCCAGTAGACTTAAAAAGCTTGTAAAGTTGCCTCCCCCTGTGCTGTCTTTATTCTGAAAAGCCACCGATCAGCAGCAATGAGTTTTATCACCCCAGAGAAGCTGTGGCTTTTTGGCTGTGGGGCTAAGAATAGAGGCTAGGAAGGGGAAGGGGGAATTAGGTCTGCTCAATTGTTGCTAACAGTTTTATTGCTGCCCTGCCAAGGCAACGAATTAAGGAACGATGGGCTGAACATAGAGATTTGGCCAAAGGTCTCTAAACAGGCAAGAGGTAGAATAGCTGAAAATGTGGATTTATCATAAGCTTGCCAGGTTTTATTAAATCAACTACCAGACGATGCTCAATATATTCTGTAAAGCTACATATGTACATGCTCTACTTTCTATTTGCATTATATTGTTTAACTTTGATCAGTTCTGCTCACATGGGGTGAATAAGTGTTATGACATGCAGCTAGTATGGCTTTTATAAACAGTTTAGTGTTCTTTGCAAGATGATGCTCTCAGTCAGTGTTTAAATCAGACTTATGCTTAACTTGTAACGCATAAGTGGTTCTCTTTCACAAGCTTAAGTCTTAGTTTGAGTTCAACGTAATAGCTAAGATTTCAGATAATCAGTTTAAACCGCTTTTATTTCTCATTTTTTGGGTGGAAAAATCTCAATTAAGACTAGAAATTGTCCACTAAATACTTAACATGTTGTTCCTCAAGCTTTTTTAAGCAAAATTTTAATTTTATCTCTGTCTTGTCAGCTGAACCCGTGGATGTACTGAAGGTTCTCGACTTCCAGAGCACTCCTCAAGGAGTACGGAAAACACCAGGCTTCTGCACGTTACGGAGAGGATCCAAACCCGACACGGCGTACAGAGTTGGAAAAAAAGTCCAGATCAGCGCTCCGACCAAACAACTATTTCCAGGTTGGTGAACTAGTTACTTAGCAGCATTTATTGATAAATTGATTCGGAGATCAGCAAAAACCAAACACGAGGACGTCCACCACTCAAAACAAACCCCAAATGAAATGCAAGTAAACTTCAAGCAGGATTTGCCTGCTGGCTGTTTTTTCATATTCATGTTTTATTCCAAGAAAGATATGAAAAAAATAAGTACTTTGTGCTGTTAGAGATATCACTTCATATCAGTGCCTCTGTTAAACTCTGGAGTATGAAGAAAACAAACTCATTTAACATCAGCAGATGAAGGCAGGCCAAGGTTCATATTGGAAACATTTATCAGCCTTTTTTCAATGGAAAGGAACACAAACCAGAGGGATTTGTTACTCAGCTTTTTGCCCACTTTCTGTGATTTAAATACCATTTATTCAGCTTTTGAATTGGAAGCAAACTCTCTTTGGTGCGATGTGACTGTATGATCTCATTAACTTTGTTGTCCTCTTTTCTTAATTTCCTCCACAAATGTGGAAAGAACCCCAAGATGTGTCCTAACTAATTCATTTAGAACTCTTACGTGAACGATCTCAGCTGTGTAATAAGTGTTTCAAAGAATTTAAATGAAGTGAAAAAAGTGGCTGTGTCTTATACACAATAATGGAAAGTTGAGAAAAGCAGTAAACCTTGAGAGGAAAAGGTGGATCTACCAAGCTGTGTGTCACAATGTCTCCAGTCAGAATAATTGGACTTTCATTTGATCAGGATTAGTTAGTTTGCTGCTGAACCGAGTTGTTATGGTTGAAAGAATATGACATTTGTTTGAGATTTTTGCATTTACAGCCCTCATAAAATAATGGTGGCTACATTAGTAATGTTGACTTCTTTCAGGAGATGCCAATGTCGCTGTCAGCTTCCATAATAAACACTCCTTCAGGTTCAGTTGTCTAGACTTTGAGTTTTAATGTGAGAAACGAAAGTTAAAGTGCTAATAAACTTGCCAGTGGCCTCTGTAGCCACTGCAATATAATCACTTTAGCATTTTTAGGGATAGAGAATATTTAAAGGACAGATAGAGCTTAAGCAAAGTGCATGGGCAGAAAGTGCTAAAGTTAATACCTTTCATTCAGATTTTGCACAGGCATAATGGGTAGGTTTGGTCTTTTACAACGATTTAGCTTCAACATTTTGAAAAATGTGTTTGTTTGCTTCCCTCCTGTGAGACATGAGACGTATGGAGACAGCTTAACGTCTGCACTGTAAATTTTAAGAGACAGTAATTAGTTAGATAAACAGTTGTCTGTCTCTGCCCAAAAAAACACATGTCGTGTTTAAGAGATGGGATCTTCACTCTGTAGCCTCCAATTTGAAAAATTACCTGCTGTGGAGCAGCTTTTAGCCTGCTGTCTATCCGGGAACCCAGGAGAGGGCAACTCTTACCACTGAAATAAGAAGTAATTTGCATTTAAGAATATGGATAATAACCCTGCTTTCTTTTGATTTGTGAACTTTGTAACATTTTCGTAAAAGTTTGAGTTTATTCAATAGAGCATGATGTCAGTTTCATGAAATATAGTAAAATTTTGAATTAGCACATGAATAAACATGTCATGTTTTGGGGCTGGGATTTGTCATTGACAAACTGTAGGTCAGTGGGAGTGCATAAGCTCACTTTTTATCCCAAGAGGTCTTAAGTGGAGGATGATGACAGTCACAATGCGTATACGTGCACTTATGTGCTGCACAGTGAATGGAAGGGTTTATAATGTACCTCTGAAGAGGTCTTGTTACCTCTCTCTGCCTCGTACATTCATTGTACACATAGATTAAAGTCATTTAAAATGCCAAACCAAAATAGGAACATTCCCTCCAAACGTTCTCACGAGAATAATTTAGAATTTAATTAGAAAAGCTGTGGTTATGCTGCACAGTTCCCACATGCGTAATTATATGAATCTGAAACAGAGCTGCTCTGTATAGTTTTAGCATTTCTTTATATCAAATATCCATGAGTTTTCACTAACATACTGGCTCGTTCTCCCACTTTTTATTCCACCTTCAGGGGGGATTTTCCCAGAGGATTTCTCCGTCCTTTTCACCATCAAGCCCAAAGCTGGCCGTCAGTCCTTCCTCCTATCTGTGTACAACCAGCAAGGCATCCAGCAGCTGGGTGTGGAGGTGGGCCGGGCCCCGGTCTTCCTGTATGAGGACCAACATGGCAAGCCCGCCCCAGAGGAGTACCCTTTGTTCCGCTCCATCAACCTTGCTGATGGCAAGTAAGTGATTGACTGCCTTTAAAACACTGGAGCGAAAAATACGGACGGCTTCGCTCAAGTATTTAAGGTCCTGATTGAAAAAATCTTGGTGTGGAGACGCTCTCAAAAGCAAAGCAGCATGGTTTGGGACTCATCACAATCATTATGTCAAGATTTATAGGTCATATTTTATCCAAAACAGAATTAGTCTGCTTGAAGTATTTTCTCAAGCACGCAGAACAAACTCGACTACTCCGGTCTGGTAAACGGACTCACAACTTTGCACATTTGTTATCATCATGTGTTTGTTCGGTAATCGATGCCACATGGAGCATGTCAGACAGTTACGGCAGAGAAATGACTTGCAGCAGTTTAATGACTTTGTCTTTTCCAGATTATTTATCGTACTGGTGTATTGATATGGAGCAATGTTTGGGATTTTCATGAAGAGCATGTCTTTGATGGAACCAGTACAATTGTCTGCCTAAGGTTACCATTAATCATTTACAGAAATGCACTGAAACAATTTCATGCTTTTTTGGCTATATAAATGATACCAGGGAAAACTATCTCAGAATAGTTGGACAGTGAAAATCATAATTTCCATACATTTCTTCAAAGTGTGAAGCATTTGGTAGTTAAACATTTTTACACAGATATATTATGTTCTTTTCCCTAATTTGTTCATTGTTTATTAAAATGCTAAAGTTACACTTGTGTTTTACAAATGAAAACACTCATTAAAAAAAACTTCTCCATCCCTCCAGAGAACTTTTTGTTTTCACCATCAGTTTCTATTAGGGAGCACATCGATATTGATTCTGTTTATTCTACTTTTTGCCTTCAGCTATTTTAATTCTCCTTGCCTGTTTTTGTTTTCACTTTAATGTCAGTCAGGCTCATATAAAGCTTTTATCCTTTTAATGGTGCCAAGCACACATTAACTTAAAGTATTCATTCTAAGATAATAAAAACATAATGATTAATGATAATATCATTGTAAAGATGGAGACTTTAATAATGGATGTATTGTTGTTGTAACATATTGCAGCATTAGGAGCAGGCAGTGGTATAAAAATTGAAAAGCAAAAAACTGTTTTGGTTGGGTAGATGGAAAACAGGAGAATATTTTTCTTAGGAAAAAAAATTCTGGTGACTATCCATTCAACAAAGGAATGCAAATCCAATACTTAGCCTGATGATTTTGTAAGGTTTTGAACAGGAAGTAGAGAAGCTCTTCTGGTAGATTTCTGACCTCCCTCTTTTTCGCATAGATGGCATCGAGTTGCTATCAGCGTGGAGAAGAAGAGTGTTACTATCATTGTGGACTGTAAGAAGAAAGTAACCAAGCCACTGAAAAGAAGTGACAAGGCGATAATCAGCACAGAGGGCATTACTGTCTTTGGCACCAGAATCCTGGATGATGAAGTCTTTGAGGTAAGGTTGAACATCTCTTATATTAAAACTGTTATTCAAATTATGTTAACAGGAATTGTTTCAGATTTGTGGATATTTGTACCACAAAGAGCAAGTTTTTGGTTTTAGGATGCTTTCTGGTTGTGTTTTTTTTTTGTTTTGGCCAATCCTGTTTAGGTTGCATTAGTTTCCTCTCAGAGAATTAGTCATTTGAAGAGTAAAAGAGAGAGCACTTACTAGAAAACAGACATCAGTTGTTGTTTTTTTGTTTTTTTCTGATGAAATATTAGTTATTCCACATTTACCACTTAACTGGATTCAAACTCGAACTGGTATATATTTGTTCAATCAATGGTAAATTCAAGACCTCTGTGAATAATCTAGAGTTAATGATTTTTGTTTTCTATTTGAGTTTTGTGGCTTTACAACACCTTCAAGCAGACTTCCTGTTTCTACCCTAAAACTTGCTCAAAGGCAGAAATTCATACAATGCATTTTGTTTCAGTGGTGTTTACTGGCCAGTTTCAGTTGTGATGTGTGTAAGATGGCAGCTTCTTTTGGAAAATCATTATTCTCAGTAAACATAGTAGCTATCTTCCACCTGTTGAAAAAAAAACTCTCCCGTTTGTTCAATTGCACAATACAAAAACCTAAGAGTAATTCAAGGATCTAAAAGAGCTAATTCATCATTCATTCACTGTTACAAAGTGATGCGTTTGATACTATCCTTTCTGATTGTGCCTCCATATAACTTTAAGCACATTGTGAATGTTACTCTATCAAATCTCTTTTTTTTCCTTTGTGAAAAGGAGCAGTATTGGTTTCTTTTACTTACAGTCCAAACTCTTTAGGGCCAGACATTTTATTTGTCTGTCATTAACTTTTGCACACAGTAAATGGAATTTTATTGGCCAGAACAGCAATACTGGCTTTGTGTGTGTGTCTGTGCCAAGGTTGATTGTGCAGTGTGTTGTTCAAACTATTCTTCTTCACTTTCTGGTTTGAATAAAGTACTTAACTGTAAAAGGGAGGTATTATGATCTGGTATTTTGATATGGAGTTTGTACTGTGGTTACCAGGTTTAATACAGGTAACTGAGCTTGGTGGAAAAAGTGAACAAAATGCAGGCATAGAAGACAATAGGCTCCCTTTTATGTCTGCATGTGGAATGTTGGCTAACGAGAGCAGCCTGCAAATGTTTGCCTCCAGGTCAAAGAGGACTTTCCACTGTGAAGACAACTGAAAATATGATGCAGCCGTTCTGCATCGATAAGATTTCGGCAATCAGATATTAGTACTTTACATGAAAATTAGTTTAATTTACAGCATTGTTCTGTACCTTTAGTCTAGATTATAAAGGAAATTACCTTTAAAATGTAAAATGGAATACCCCAATGGTAATATTGTAGTTGGGATTGTAATTAAGGTAATTTAGAGAAGAGAAGATAATATCAGATAGAGCAATTTCCTTGAGCCTTGTCTATTTTTAGTTGAGATTCCAGAACAGTTGATATTGTTTCAATATTAGACTAAATTGTCTTGAATCCCAGAGTAATTTGTGTTGCTCTCTTTTTTTAAAGAAACAGTATATTTTTCTGGAAGATTTTAGACTTGTAGAACATTGCTAGAGGGTTTTAATATGCGCAAGTGGAATTGCTGCCACATCATGAGCTGTAATTATTTCCACTTCAAGCTTAATAACCTTAGTTTTTCTTCTTCATGGAAACCTCCCAGCTAATTGCAATTATTCGTACTTGTCAGGGCTTGTTGGTGACTTACTGTAAATACAGACGGATAAACACCTGTTTTAATTGCTCAGGCTTGAAGAGCCTGCTAAAGGAATGTTTCCCAATAGATCAATGCCAAATCCCGAATGTTGCTATCGAAATTGTCATCTTTTCTAACTGTGTTTCTTCAAATTAAAGTCAGAATTGCCTCGCAGTCAGTCTATTGTAAACCATTAGAACCAGGTATCCAGTATTATCTAATAAAAAAAAAGGAAACCAAAAAATAAAGTCTGGTGAGTTTATTCTTTTATTTTAATTCATGTTAAATCTTTCAAAGTAGGTTGTAGTACAGCACCTTAAGCTAACGGAAAACATGTGTGGTGACTTAAAGGTTTTGGCAGTTTACAATTATGAGTGATAGCAAACTTTTGCACAGCAGGCTGGAGATTTAGTCTACAGATGACTGAAGTTAGTTTTTTTTTCTCTCTAAAGCTTCCATGAGCTCTAAGTTCATGGTTACCTTGCAGCCTTAGACTGCAGCGGCAGGTGTCAAACCTGGAAGTTCACAGGAGAGTGAAGGCCAGGGGAAATTATGAATAGCATGTGCTCAGTTTTGGCTGCGATTGCGATCCCAAAAACCTTTTAAACATAAACATATCTTTTCAATTTAAATGCATTTTAAATTAACTTAACATTTTTTATTTAATGAACTTTAACCAAAAATGTATTTGCATTTCATTTTGAGCTTTTGTGTATCAGCATGTCTGCCAGAGAGGGAGGTGAGAATTGTTTGTTTATGTGCCTGTCATTACTGCATAGCAGATCTTTCCAAAACGCTGTCCCTCGAGCAGGACAGACTTTGGCAGAAGAATCGCAAGAGCCTGATTGGCTTATAGCAGTAAAGTGAATCATTGTTTATGGTTGAGTTGGCTGGATGAGGAACATCATGGCTGTTTCTCATCTGCATCTGTCACTTTTCATCCCTCACTGCTTGTCACAAAGTGTTTTAGCTTGGACTGCGAATTCTGGAATATTCTTAGGTTGTGTGAGCATTTCTGAGAAGGCCATCTGTCACTTCAAACGACATATTTCCACGTATTTATGCAGACATAACATAAGGTGTGCTTATTCTTTATGATATTGTGATAGTTTTGAACTTAAATGACTTTTGAAAGCAGTTGTCTGACTCCCATGTCTCCTTACAGTTTGAATGTAGTATACACCAAAAAAATTCATAAAAACATATGCTGAAGGAAAAGAGCAGTGCAAGTGAAAAAAGACAGATGGAGAAAAGCGAGGAAAGGGCGGGTAGACAAATAAGCAGATGGTTCAAAAAGTTCAACAGTTTTGTGAGCTACTGGCAAGCAAAATGTTTTAATATTTGAAGGGTGCAAGCTATTTGTATGCCCCCAGTGCTTGAAAAGAGACATTATCCCTTGTTGACCACAAAGGCTGCATTTCATAATGCACAGTGAAATCTGGAGAGTATTATACGCTGTTCCTGCTCAGTGCTTCTTGGTTAATTGTTGTCCTTGAACGGTTTTGAAATTCCATCTTTCTATTTGAACTTTCAAGTTGGGCTGCATGCTTGTTTTTTTTTTAAACAAGATGGAATTTTAGATGATATGTCGAAATTATTGAGGGGGTACATGCATGAAGTAATGAGAAAAAGAAAAATACTGAAGATCTTGTCAGATTTACACTATTAAAGTTGTTGTTTTTTGCGGCCTTTTTGTGTGGAACTTGAAAACTACCAAGGAACTTTTTTTTTACAGGTGCAAAGAATGGATGGATTTGATCCTGTTCAAATCTGAATATTACTAAGATAGTATGGCGTAGGACAGACAGACTTTTGTTTGTTAATATAGTCTGATTGTTTTTACAGGGTTATTGTATAAAAAACTTCCCATATCTTTTAAATGGAAATGCTCTTTCTGTTAGTATTTCAACATAGAGGCCTTTCTCATTGCTCTGCCGCAATAAAGCTATTGATAAATTGCTATTGGTATGTGCAGGGCTAACAAGGAAAGAGAAAATATATGAACAACACAAGCCCTAAATACTGCAGCTGTTATTTTAAGGCTTCCACATTGTAATATGTGCATTTAACAGATGCAAAGTGGAGTGTTTCTGTCTCGGTAGAGTGAATTGGCTTAGCGTACGGGCTGTTAACTGGTGCTCTTCTTCTGCTGCTCTGCACTCTTGACTTCAATCTCCAGGCCACGTTGTCCATCCCTGCTGTGCCTGGGCTCACATCGTTGATGTTCGAGCCCATGGTTTAGTTTCTTTTGGTTGCATGACAAAGACAATAACTTTACCCAAACAGCTTTTCAAAGGGAAGGAAAGTTAACGCTACAAATTAGACTGGCTTTTACAACACATAGAATCCGGGGATTATTTTACATATTCAGCATTTGACACACTCATGCTTTTCCCCACAAACATCATAGACAAAAAGTGATGCTGAGCAGTACTCTTTCATAATGAATACAAACAAAACTAGACAGATGCACAACTTCGAATCCCCCCCCAAAAAAAATGTTCAAAAGATTCTTGAGAAGAGTGTCAGCCTTTAAAGTTGGACTCTCAGATGTTGATTAAGTTTGTAAATCAAGTATGGTCCCAATTTTGTGGAGTAAAAAAAAAAGGCTGCATCGTTTATGTCTGTAAATTAGTTGAGTAAAGACAGGATGGGAAAACCCATTCACCGCCTATCATCTGCGTTGTGGCGCCAGCAGGAACTATCTGCAACTAATCAAAGTATTCTTTTCTGGGTTGGACTGTATGCTTTATAACCGGTGCTCACATTCAGATAGCAGATACTTGATAACAATCTCCACACATGCACGTCTGTAAGTGTCAGTCAAGCTCAAATTTGGCTTAAACTTTTCTTTTTCCTTTGTTCATTCTCATCCTTTTCAGTTCTGTTACGCTTGTCTCTGGGGGTTGTGGTTTTCACCAGAGTGTCAGATGAGGTCTAAAATATTTAAACATGTTGCATTTAGACAAGGGTCCATAGTAAACAGATGGGATCAACGATGAGTTGCAGTCCAGCATAGATTGAGAATGTGCGCTGCTGAGGTCCACGTCGTTGTTAGAGAAAATTCTTGGAATTTTGAGAAAGGAGCCTCAAAGTGTGGCAGTGATATGTGTAACGCAGCCTCAGTAACTAACATCAACAAAAGCACTGAGATCCAGACTGTTGATCAGGGAGAGCGGGACAAACAGAACCTATGCTTGGCTTTAGAAATTGGTTACATTTGTATAATGTCTTAAAAGGCCCTGCAGGGTCTTGCAAATGTTCAGGCGGTTGAATACACAGTTTCTTCATTAAGCTCCCTTTACACTCACGCATTTTATTGAAAATACATGTAAGACATAGGCATCAAAGCTGTGCACAAAAGTTAAAAAGTTTTTTCAGATTCAGTTTGAAGATGATGATTACATGTGCACATTTAAGCTTGATTTTATCTGAAATATGGATAGAAAATGCACATACGGTAAATTATGTCTTGATAATTAACTGTATAAGTTAAAGAGTAAAGCCTCAATATAGTATTGAATTTCTAATCTATAGGGAAAACTTTTTCTTAAGAGTAGCAAGGGGAAGGGATAATTCTTAAATCAAGTGAACTTACATTCATTCTTCTCAATGCTACATATAAGTCTAGATAAATGTATCAGACTAACCATTAAGATCTTGTGTAAAGACAACATAGCATTTCTCGCATTTCATGATTTGTTTGTACTTCCGTATCATGAATGTGAACAGTTGTAAAATTGCAAAAACATTGACATAACTGTTTGAGTTTAAAGTGATCTGAATTTAGCTAAATTTGAGCTGAAATGGGATTTTGGTGTTTGTTTTACTCTTAAATGTACGTATAAACAGTGCTAAAAATGAAGCAGGGGTGCCTGTTTGCACACAGATCTGGATCCAGGTTTCTCTTTTTTTTCTGACTTTTGCTATGAATCTACTTCTGAATTGTTAAAAAGTCATGATGCTGTGTAGTTATTACTTTGATGGACTTACTGTAGGGGTCATGTAGGTGCTCAGTGAACTCTGGTGTTTCCCTCTATTCATAGGTCCAACCATCTTTGTTTGGTTGATTGCTCAGTGCTTCATGAAGACAAGACAGTGAAGAATGTTTAAATTATGCATTTAAAGTACATATAATATGTATATTCTTTGAGGGAATAGTTGTCTGGAATTAACTGATAGCCATGGATCTATTGACCCAGTTTCAAGAGTAACAGGTGTATCAGACCATACTGAAATCCCTTCCATTGACCTGTATGTGCATTGGATTAATATTTTGTCTGGGTTGTTGAAAGTTACCAGTTACATATGATGGGTGCAAACAACAGTGTGTATCTAATATGTTCCAGAGATTGAAGCTTGTAAAGATGTTGCCTCCTGTAATTTAATGCATTCTGCATGGATGTGCTTCCTCTTAAGGGGCCACCCTGATCGTGGCCTCCCCTCACCCTTCACACTTATTTTATCTATGTATATGCCCTCTTTTTGATTAAGTGGACTATTAAAAAAATGTCACCTTAGGTATCCATATGGTAGATTGGTATTGATAACATTCTCGGCATCAGTGGCATGGCAGTTCCTTGCTGAGGAATTTCTTAGGATACTATCATGGAAAAAGAGCCGTTGGCTCATAGAGTGATGAGGGATCTAATTTCCTTTTCCGAAAGGCTCATGAAAAACAGACGGCTTCAGATAAGTACAGACCTTAGTTATTTTCCTGCTGTGTACAGGGACTTGCCGTTCCTAATGGCAAAGTGAGTGAGATTGTAGAGTAGTGTTTTTTAAAAGCTTACAGACTCCCCTAAAGCCTTGGTTCATTCCATAAACTTATGTCTAATTAATAGTCAAGGGACCTCTGCCTCTGGAAGTTAACATCTGCCTAGTTGTTTTATTGTGAGATTTTATCACCATGTTGGTGCATACCTTGGGCATTCAAGAAAGAGGGAATTGGTGCATAGCTCGTGGGCATTAGGGGTTGCAGCTCTCTTGGTTTTCCCCTCAGACTGTGTTGGATGACTTTTGCACGTGCTGAGTTACAAAATCTGAAGCCCTCTGAGACACTGCACCTATATTCCCAAAACACCTTGTTTGCACAAGAGTTCAGCTTCATTATAATAGTACAGTTGTATTTGCTCAATCTACTTAAGTATGAAACTCTTGCATTTCGCTTCTAAAATGGCCATGTTAGCACATCTTGAAAGATGTACAAAGATATGATGTTTGTCCACCAATACGAAAAGGAAGCGGTATCTTGAACTCTTTTTTTATCCCTGTTCAGAAACTAAGTTATGGCCATTGTTTTGATTTGCTGCATAGTAAATTACCTTGAAAGGCCACATGGTTTTTCTTAAGTGCTGATGAGAATACAAATTACTAATGACATGAGTGTTTGATTTGGCAGAAAAAACGCTTTTTAAGGTGACTCTGCCTATGTGCTTCTTTTCTTCCAGGGTGACATCCAGCAGCTGTTAATAGTGGCTGACCCCAGGGCAGCCTATGACTACTGTGAACACTACAGCCCTGATTGTGAAACACCCAGCCACCATGACACCCCACAGGCACAGGAACCCGTGGACGAGGTCAGTAACTGGAAAACAGTGAGATCGGCTGTGTGGGTGTATGAACAAGCGATGAAGGAAGAGTGCACGGCTGGATTCAGGAGGATTCTGGAAGGGGGGGATAGTAGGGGCTGGAATTTTAGAAAGGATGGAAGTTGGATTGATTTGAATTTGGAAGGCAGCCCAAATAATATGGTGTTTTAGGGTAAAAAAGAAAAGAAGAATGGAAAACAAGTGATTTAATAATGATAATAAGTTGGAGATTTAAAGGAACCTTATGTGCTTAGTGTGAACAACATAAAGTTTAATGTGCTTTTTTAAGCACATGTATTTGTGGTAAACAATTAAAGAAGTTTGAGCCTTCATGAGACTCTACATCCTGAATTGTTGGTTTTTAATAAGTATGCCTACAGAGACATTCAGTGTTTGATGTGTTGCACTGTAATAATTTCCTTTTTTACACATTACAATGTCTGGTTCCCACAGGTTCTTGTGTCACCTCAAGTGAAAAACTTTAAGGCCAACTTTCTTACATCATTATTTATTAACAAAAAATGGATTGGCAGTTCTGGTCTACAGCCTTCAGATATTTTTCTACAATGCCAAGGAGCGACGTTAGCGATAGATCTTTGAGATGCAATTTTTGCTTTCCATCAGCCTGGAAAGAACATTTCCAAGCTGTTCTGCAGAGAGCGATCATTAGTGGCCCTTAAGACGTTTGCCACTGAAATATGTCCTCTTGTTTGTGCATCTGAAGCTTTATTTGAATCTTTTTAAGGCTCTTTAACAGCTAAATATTTTTGAAAATTTCACGTGGAAATCCACTGCTGCTGAATGAATGGCTTATGTTTTTTGTGGCATAAACATCAAATTTCCTGAAATTATTTTCTATAACCCCGTGGGCATACATTTTGGGTTTCATTGACTGTGACTCTGAACCATCACTCTTTCGACAGACTATGTTCCTGAAATACAGGTTTTGTATAAAGGCTTCATTTTTTACTTCGGCTTAGGATTTTAGTTTTTTATGCTAGCTCAAGCCTTTCTGCTGGTTGACATTTTCCTTCAGTATTTTACAAAATAACTGATGAGCTCACTTTGGAAACTTTTCTTTTTTCCTTGCCTCGAAGTCTTAGCCGACTTTGGAGTGGCCCCGTGATTTATATCACTAACGAGTTCTGCAGGCTCTGCCCAGACTCACAAGGAAATTTAAGCTTTTCCTTCCCCAGCTAGACTTAGACTTCCAGTACCTGGGAATGTGGACTTTAGATCTCTGGCTTAAAAGAGTTTTAACAAATAAGAAAAAAGCCTATTCAGAGTTATTGGCTACAGAGTGTGTACCAGTCCTGGAAAATATTGCCTCATCATCAAGTTGCTTTTCAACACCAACACAAGGAGTTTGTCAATTCTAATTAGACATCAGGGAGAAATTTGGCTGAAAGGACAGTAAATCTGCTTTATTCATCGCCAGTTTATGAACAGTTTAAAAAGGAATGTCCTACATTTCAGCTCAGTATTTTACAAACTTTCTTACTCAAATAATCACAACTTGAGTTTCTCTTTCTTCGATCAATAATCATTAAAGCCAAACCAAGACAATCACTCAAGCCTTTGTCTCTTTCCGTTTCCCCTGATGCCCTTTCACTGCCACATGTCTGCAGCTGTTTTAAATGGAGGGCGAGAGGCTGATACAGTAGCACAATGGGAAACCTTTTTTTTTTATGAGCACCTCATTATTTACGTCTTTCATTCAAGCCTGCAGTGAAGTGCCTTAATCCCAGCCAAAGGCTTCCACGCCATAAATCTTTATATTCTCGTCTTCATTCTCTAATTTTTTGCTTTTTCTCTCACCCCCTCTTCTAGTCTGTGTTGCCTTCTCAGTCAGTGTTGTCAGGCTGAACAGGGCCCTTTTACTTTTTGCCTCTTTTGGATTGCAAAACAGCAGCCAGGCAAGCAGTACTGCAGACTGTGGATATTAATTTTACGAGCAAAGCAACTGTCCAGGGACGATTATTTATCACAGTGTTGATAGAACACTGCTTATCAGGGTCTGTTGAGTTACCTACTTTGCCTCCGTTTTGACAATGGAAAGAACTCTGAATGTGTTTGATTGTTGAATGTTTGGCTTAAGAAGCTATTAGCAGTATATTATGTGAATCCTGGGCAGTTTGCCCGAGAAGGGCTCTTTGACTGGTGAAGCGACTTTTTTTGATTCAACAACTAATCTCTCTTATGATCCCTCCACTTGGTGCTGTCGTCCAGTCTTCAGGATCACATAATGTAGTAGTGCAACAGATGGGAGCAAATGGAAGTCTGGGAAAAGAGTCTGGCAAGAGAGTGATTCACCTAATGCTAACAAGCACCAGGGAGATAGTTTGTCTTTCTACAAAGCTGCTGTTCACTAAAAGTTTGATTCATGAAGTCTTGTCCTATAACATAACTAACAATTATACTCATAAAAAAATGTTTTTTATATGCTATCTGCTTAGGATGCTAAATTTATGAAAAGTCCTCACAACCCACCACAGGTTAACTCTGTTGCATGGTACTTATTATAAGGCTTCCTACCTAATGGATTCTGATGAATTCACTCTAAAATTAAAAAGCAGTAAAAACAAACAGGAGTATTTTGCAAAAATGTCTCTCTTCCTGATATCGTAACCAAGAACATATTTTTACTCTTATTTGTTGATGTTTCAATACCCCTTCATTTCTGCGAGCTGCGTGGTGTTAGAAGTGGTTTTACCCCCTGCTATTGTAATTTCTGTGACCCCATAACTAACCAACGTGCTCTAAATCAGTACAACATAAGATTTCTGTTTCAACAGCCGTTAATGAGGGCTTCAGGGGCGTTGTTGGCATGAAGATTGAGCAGGGGAGGGATACAAGTTTTCACTGACATTGCATGAACCCTATAACATCCTGTCTGCAGTAAAGGGCACTCTTAATTGGTGTTTGCTTGGTCACATGAACCCATGATCTCGTGTGAAGGGAAATGAAAGGGAAATGCAGTCAGAATAGTTTTGTTCGTACTTTAAACTTTTCGCTTATGCATATGGATGTGAGGTTTCATCCATCCCACGTTAAAAAAAGCATGATGGCACGATCTTTTGAAACAAACATATTATGAATCTTATTTTTTGATGGTTTAAAAGATCCTATTTAATAAATGCCATGTAAATGGCACACGATCTGACTTTGGCATTGTTTGGTATTCTTAACATGACGGCTCTTATTAACTGATGGCCCTGTGGTACATTTTTCTTACAGTACAATAATTACGACTATGGTGACACCTATGACTATGACGTAGAGGAGATAACCACTGAAGCTCTCCCAACAGATGGAGCGAAGCCTGAGGTAACTCTTGACTAACACACTCATCATACATTTTATCATGAATAACATCCTGATCTTTTACAGACTAGTGACTTATCATTCTGCTCTTTTATTGAACAGTTTCTCTCCTTCGCTGATAATCTCCTAATCTGTCCAATGTTAGATTCCTACAAGTTTTAATCTCTTTAAAAAAAAAACTCTTGTACCCTTAAAATGGTTTGAGACTCCTTCAATACACAGTGATTTATGATTGTGATTTACAGCTACACTCATTATGAAATGTGAAGCTATAGCACAAAAGAGGAGAGATTCTTAAGTGGGAATTAGGGCTGGTGGCCTCCTCCTCACCTGTCTTTGCATGATGCCCTAAGTGAAAGCAGCCTCACAGTAGATTGTGGTCACTAGCTTCATCTAGGGAATACCCAAAGTTAAATTCCTGTGATATATCTGGCCAGATTCTTCATTAATCTGTTCCCAGCTGCACAAGCAAAGTGAGTGCAGAGTGCTACTCTTCAAAGAGCAAGCAGTAATTCCTTTAATCTTCTGTGTGGAACCTACTGATCTTGGCTTTTCTGAGTCTGTAGGTGGTCTCTAGATTCATTGCACAAATCCAGGAATCCTTTGCAGTACTATGCATGGATTATTTTGCTTTTAGAAAGAAAATGGAATAAAAAGTAAAACATGAAATTGTATAAAGCGTTAAAAGACTTTTACTGCATAGGTTTTTTTCCACCATTATTATTTTACTAATGTATACATTTCAATCCAAAGCGTCTGAATTAGCATAAATGACTGTCTCTAAACATATTCAATATCAAACATTGAATTTTCAAAAGTAATGAATTATTCCTGATTTTCTTTTTATTTATTGTTTCTGCTCCAATTTTAGACAAACGCGGGTGGAGATTATTACACTGGTGAGTATGACTACACCACAGTGGATGGAAGCCAGCCTGAAACTCCAACCGACACTGCTGGCCAGGTAACTTTTTTCTCTTTATTTCTATCTATTTTGCTGTAAGATCTTTTTTTAATTGTATTTTTTTCTGTTTGCCTCTTTTTACCTAATTTCCCAAGGATTGCTTTAAAATGGCTGCACAAAAAATTGCATATATAAACAAATATATAGGAAAATTTGGCAGCAACTTTTGATTCTAGCTTGTTTGTTGCTGTTCGAAACACTTTGTGCCACCACTGCATGACATACTTGAAATGGAGCATGTGCTTTCGAACAATTACTGAAAGATTTTTGTCTAAAGGACAACTTCTCAACAAAATTCATGGAGGCACAACCCCAAAATCATCACACTAGAATTAAACATATTACTCTACTCTGCTTGTTTATTTAGTTACACAGTGTCTGGGTAAACACTATCATATCATAATAATCAAACTATCATAATGTGATGAGCCATAACCACCAGGAAGTCAATAGACAGCACTTGTGTGTTTGTTAACATTAAATAGGTCCCCATTTTTGTAATGCTCTAACTGTACCCTCATGTTTTCTGACCCCCTTGCCATGCCTGTATTGATTATAGACTTATGAAGGGGAAATAGTTGATGATTACATCACCGGTGTGGATCAAGTCGGGGTGGACCCCACTGTTCCTGTGGAAGCTGTTGTCCCAGTGGAAACCGAGAAGAATGTGGATCCAGCACCTGACCAATACGAATTTAAGGAATACGACCTGAAGGAATACGGGAACAAAGAGTCTGTTGACAAAACCTATGACTACGGTGATTATGGTGATTACGGTACCACTGATGCCAAGCCTCCAACTGAGACGTACGAGGAGGAGTTTGGTCCTGGAGTTCCAGCGGAGAAAGACTTCGGTGTAAGTGCTGGAATAGCAAAGGGGGGGGGGGTTACCACGGCGGGGGCATTCAGACATTTGGAAAGAAGTGGAAGATGCTGGTCACATTCTTTTGATGGGTTTTTCCGAGCACTTTTTTGTTGTTTTTAAAGATTTTAAGCTCAAGCACACACAGGCAGGAAAAACACCTCGTCTTTCACAGATAAACAGATGTCAGTCCAGCTGATGGCACAGGCATAACCTCTCCACCTCAGTGGCTGTTTGTCAGAGGCATGCCTATATATGGATATTCTGTTTAGTTTTTCTGACAGCAGGCAGTCTCAGCAAACACTTTTTTTAAAGACCAGAGAGAAATTGCTGAGGTGGTGTCAGTCGTCGGTTGTCTAGAGGTCTCTCTTTTTCTTATGGAACCAAATTCTCAGGAACAGGACGTGACCCAGTCTCTATCTGGATGTTGGGTTCATCTAGATTTCTCTGTTATTGGTCCACAATCCCAGTCCCTCTTCACGATTTTCTTATTAAATACCAGTTTCCTCTTCAGCCTAAACTTTGTAGTCTCCTGGGTTTTAGACAAAGTGCTTCTGCTGGTTTGTGAATTCCTCTAGAATGAAGTCATTGTGTGGACAGTGTCAGGTAACAACTCATATTTAAGTGTCTTTTTTTGTGGCAGAGTTTATAACAAAAAAAAGGTCTGACCAAATCTAAAATTATAGCCTTTTGAAAATTGAATGACACATGAGTTTTATCAGGCAGAAACAACTTTTTTTTTTCTTAACAGTCTAAATACATGTTTTTAGAATGTGACACATTTTTTTTTCTTATTGGCTTTGTTGTTGTTTTATATCGTCGTAGATATGACGTAATTATGGTTCTGGTCTTCTGAAGAAGACTGACTGACGTTGTGTGTATGATTCTCAATTATCGTGTGAGACAAAAACCTCACCAGTGTGTCTTTTGTCTACAGGTGGGTAGGGGTCAAAGTTACCTGGGAGAAAAAGGAGAGAAGGGGGAACCTGCTGTCATTGAGCCGGTAAGTGTTTCTCCAAAGTGTTGAAAACCCTCTGCCAGCCAAGATGGCACGTCTCCATAATGACCCAAATCTGACTGGAAAGACAAACCAAGTCAACTGAGTTTTTGTATGAATAAGCATTGGCTCTCATGCTGTCATCACATAAAATACAAATTAAAGAAAAACATTTGAAGCCTGAACTGAAACAAGACAATGATCTGTTTCACAGGGCTGACTGGACAGGCATTAATCATGAAACATAAAATTGGTGAATTTAATTCAAAGGTTGCAGCTATAATCTCTATTATCTATGATCTCCCACATTTAGCAGCCATAACTAAACCAGGTATCTTCATTATCATTATATCTGTCCCCATAAAAAGCCCACATAGGGCAAAAACTTAGTCAAATTTGACAACTCAAAGCTCGCATAGCTCCCAATCCACACATCCAAGTCTGGCCAGGTCTTTCAGCCAACAATTGACCAAAGCAGCCTCGCTTTTGGGGATCAGCTGCCAGAACTTGGCATAGTGTGCCAACACTTGGCCTCAGTGTACTAAGTTCAGCATCCTGTGAATGTAGTTGAAGCAGAAACATCTAAAACTGGTTTGAAGCTTTTTACAATAAGATGTCTGCAGCATTGCTGTGGCTCTCACTTCTATGTGAGAGTGTGTAGAAAAAAAACAAGGCAAAGCACTTTGTGTTCTAAGTTGCTGTATAATGTGTAGACAATCTGTCTTTTTAAAAGATTGGAAAGCTAGGATTATATTCAGTTTGCTGGTTTGTCTTTTACAAAAATATCCTGTTTGTGCGTAAGAAGTGAAAAGGTGATAACTCTCTTAGACTCATCTAGATTTCAGGTCAATTACATTCTGTTGTGATTCACACAACTGTGAACCATAACCCTTCCTCCTCTGTTCCTCATGACATCTGTCTTGGTACTCTTTACCAGCGTATTCCCTAACCACAGATCTATCTGTCAATCTGTCTGAACAGTCAAAGACTGAACAGATTTCCTCTTCAGTTTTTAAGAAAAAAAGCTGTCTTAGTGTTGGGAGAGTTTCATTTAGCATATAAAGTTGCTGCGATGAGTGCCATGTCTTTTAATGAATGGTGTCTGGCTTTCATATAAATTTCTTTACATTTCAGTTTGAATGATTTATCAGACAATAAAAAGCCTGATTCAGATTGCTGCATACTTTCCTAGAAATATATTCTATACCCACCTCCAGTTTGGTTCAGACTTGAATGAAAAATATTTGTCTTCTGGTGCAGTTGAACTTGGGGTCTTAGTTTTACTGACACCTGATAAGATTTAACATACATTTTAACCTGAATGTGTACGACAGAAATGACTGCTATCTGAGCAGAAATGCCTCAGAATTGTTGAGAGAACCATATCGCACTTTATAAAGCTAAACACCAACTCAAGCAGCAGCTGTATTTTTTACCTTAGTTTTTTACCTTCCATACCATCTGTGCCTCCACAGGGATGCTCCCTTTTCACACATCTTCAGTGTTGCTAGCATTTTACGCATTTAGCAAATACGACAAGCTCAAACCTTAAACTGCTTCTCTTTTATTTTCCCTCTGCTGTCCATTGCTTCTAGATTTACAGACTGCCCTATAATGCTACTGTATCCCATTTTTTTTCCTTTTGCAGGGGATGCTTTTAGAAGGACCCCCAGGAGCCCCTGGCCAAGCAGTGAGTATCACATTCTCCCACACTGCCGTCTGCTTTCCACAGATGGAGAACAGCTAAAGAGGGAAAAAATGTCTTTATGGAAAGACCGTCAGCTCTGATCGCCAATGAAGCCTGAGTTGTCAAAACGTGGACTTGTGCATGCGTGTGTGTGTGTGTCTGCGTGTGCAACGCAGTAAACGATGGGGGGGTTGGCAACCTCATTTTGAGGCTTGCTTCTTTCAGAGCGACGGTTTTGCTTCTGCCTTTGTTGGCATCTGCGTGTGTAGCTATAGAGAGATTGAATGGGGGTCGAAGAACTGGTTAATGGTAGTTTGTGGTAATGTGGTAAGTGTATGTGCATCTGGTTTCAGGGTCTTCCTGGTTCCCCAGGATTGCAAGGACCCCTGGGTGCCCATGGTGATCCTGGTGAGAGGGTAAGTGAAGACTGGCTTCATTTTACTGCTGAAAATAAATGTGCCTGAAAGACATAAAATTGCGCTGTTTAAATTTGATTTCATATTGAAGGATTCTGTCGATCCCAGAATAAATTTGAGGGAAATGTATCTTTGTCTCAGCCAAAATATCTTTGTTCAGACAAGCACACTGAAACGCTAACTTCAGCATGTGTCAGTCATTTTTCTCATCTTCATCAGGGAGTATGTTAGCCTACACATGCAGGCACGCCATTTCTTCTAAACAGTAAGCTGTGGGGGGCCGTTTCAGCGCCAACCAATAAATTGTATAATCCAACTTAGCTTGCTATTGCAGTAGAAGGGAGCCTTGAGGAGCTGAGCAGGGAAATGAGATGCCCACAAACTGTCAATAGACCCACAAAGAACAGTTCTCAAAAACAGCTGTGTTGATGTGCTGTGGGGGTGCTGCAAAGTTCAAAGAGTTTGCTGTAAAATATGTAGAAGCTGAGAATCTAACTTTTTCCCCCGACCCAGTGGGATTCCAGTCGTCTGTTTGATTGATTGGATCACACGGAATAAGTGCCTGTCCCTCCCCGTTAGAAAGCTGGATCTCAGCTTGTTTTTCTTTTTCTTTCTCTCTTTTT